CTCCATACTGTTTTCCATAGTGGCTACACCAGTTAGCATTCCTACCAACAGTGTATGAGGGTTCCTTTTTCTCCACAACCTCTCCAATATTTGTCACTTTTTGTTTTGGTTATTTTTGCCATTCTAACAGGTGTAAGGTGATATCTTAGTGTAGTTTTGGTTTGCATTTCCCTAATGATTAGTGATGATGAGCATCTTTTCACGTGTCTATTGGCCATCCATATATCTTCTTTAGAGAGATGTCTGTTCATGTCCCCTGTCCAGTTTTTGATGGGGTTGTTTGATTTTTTGTTGTTGAGCTGTGTGAGTTCTTTATATATTATGGAGATTAACCCTTTGTCGGATATATAACTTGTAAATATTTTTTCCCAATTAGTGGGTTGTTTTTTTGTTTCAATCCTGTTTTCTCTTGCCTTGAAGAAGCTCTTTAGTTTGAAAAACCATCAACTTTTTAATCTCTTCTGTACATTGGGAGATTCGGAGAGGACTGGAGCTGTGACAGATGTGTGTGATGTGCTCATCTGTCAGATGGACGGAAAGACTCTCTAGTATGGGACAGATCTACCACAGATATAAGAGTAACACAGTTCTTAAACTCTTCCCACCAGCCAAGATTTCCTCCAGCTGAATAGAAATTATTTCATTATTGGGATTAATCAAGAATCTTTGGACCCAGTGACTGTTTTTCATGATGCTTAATTACCACTTCTGGAAATGCAAATATCAACAACCGTTCTCCAAGAGACTTTTTTATCCCTATACCAACGGTTCTCTATTGGGAAGAGGGGACAGTTTTGCCCACAAGGGGACATTTGATGATGTCAAGAGACATTTTTGGTTGCTGGACTGGGGACTGGAGTTGCTACTGAAATCTAGTGGGTAGAGACCAGGGATGATGCTAAAGATCCTATAACATACAGGACTGCCCCACTACCACCACCCCCCACAAAGACTTATTGGGAACTAAATGTCAACAGTGCTGAGACAGAAATTCTGGTCTACACAAATTACAAAATACCTAAGGCCTAGAATGCTATTTTCTAATTAAATCTGGACTTAATTATGTGCTTTTGGCCCAAGAATTATCCAAAGTTGACCTTACAAGTATGTTGAAACATTTACAAATCCAAACCAGTGATCAAAAATAAAAATTATGCAGCCATTGTATAATGAACTCTACATCTGCCTAAGTCACTCCCACAGAAGAACAAGCAGCTTCGAGGTACAGCAGGAAAATCCCAAGTGTAAGACTCAGAAAGTCAGTCTACTCTCAAAGACTGCTCTACAGATAAAAAGAAAAATGCCAAGCACTCTGAAGTTATTCCTGTTTCACATGAAAACAACCAGCCACCTTTTCCAGCTACAAGCTTTTAGCTGCAGGCAGTATTCTCTACTGAAAGTATGAGAATACCTAGAGAAAGGACGTGAGAAAGACCAAGACATATATTACTAATTGCATCCTAGTTCCATTAATATTTCTTCTCAATTCAATACTATGCTTTAACTTTGCCCTTGGAGAAAATTTATCTGCAGAGTCAGTCATAAAAACAGCTCATCCAAAGGCTCACTATTTTGCTGTAAAATTACCACTAACTCACCATATCAAAGATATGTAAACCTCAAGCACAATGAACATGCTTCTGAATTCCAACTGGTATAAGTTGCCCTTTATCTTTTAGTTTCTAAACAAATAGACTGAATTTAAGCATTGTTCATTTCTCATCTTTCCCCTACCTAAACACAACTGATATGATAGAAAAATGTTCACAACTTACAATTTTGTTTGACCCATAGATCTTCTCTAACTGTTCAGCAACATCCCTTGTTCCATCTGGGCTTCCATCATCTATGATTATAATTTCATAGTTGATTCCACTAAAACAAAAAAAATATTTGTATTGTTTGGAGTCAGTATTCTCAAATTAAAAAATAATTTTAAAACTACTCATTCCTCACCAGTATAAGTGGAGATTCATTGCCATATTAATCACTAATGAAAATTTCAATTATCAAACGAAATAAATATTTAGTACTTCAACTTCGAACTCAGCATGTTGCTGGAAAAGGCTATTATAAAGTCCTGAGATGTTAAAAAATTCTCACTCAGAAAACATACTCTTTAGTTTAAAAAATCATAGTGATTATATATGTACTATATATATGCTATCACATGAAATTTTATTTACCTATTTTGAAAATGGAATCATTGAACCTTAATATCAAATCTTAGTCACATAAAATGTCAAAAATATGTTTAAAAGATATCTCGAGTCAACTGAGTAGCGCTGAGTGATTCCTTTTAATTGAATCCTAAATAGATTTAAATCACAACATCAGGAATAAATCTGACTTAATTTCACCCTTTAAAAAAACCCACTTTAGAATGGTGACATAATCTTTTACACCACTATTTCAAATAGTTGTACTCCTTATCCCACACTATCCAATAAACAGAAACAGCACAGAATTACAAAAGATTTCAACGTGCCTCAAAAGTCACATCTCTCTGTTGCTCTCCATTAAATTCACCTGATAGTTTCTATTCTAAAAACAAGCCAACACAATACTTGGATGTACACGTGATCACTATCATGTCTCCCCTGCCCCATCTTAAAGATATTATATTCTTTTCCTTAATTTTATTGGGAAACTTAAGGGGAAGGACAAGGAGGCAAAGCCGAATCCTTACAATACAACATCACTTCCTCTTGGTCCTGCTTCAAGAAACACATGCAAGGAAATCAAACAGAAAACACATTCCACTGTTAAAGGCTTAAAAACGTCAACCCTAGCAAACGTGGAAGAAAGCAAAACAGCTTTAACTGTTCTCTAAGATACAATATGACTTCAGCTTCTCACTGTGCCTTAAATTTGGGCATGTGCTTTACAAGACAAAACATGTAAGATGTTAATTCTAGTTGATACTAGTGTTGAAAGATATACTCCATAAACAAATGGAGTTTTTCCTAAGCAAAATAAGTTGCCATTCCCGCTTCAAAGCACCCACACCACCTAAGGGTGAGGTAACTTAAAGGACTCAAGCTGAGCTGACTTAGGCAACCTGACCGTATCTGAAAAGACGATAGTTCTTTCCTTCATTAGACTTCATTTTGATAAAAAAAAAACTCCAAGCAGAAACCAATAAAAGATAAGTTGCACTAAATAAACAAATTAAAGAACAGAGTAAAAAACATTGTATAATGACAAGACAAACGGGAACAAGATCCACTACACGACAATTTGGAAAGAGCTTGCAGAAATCAAAATAAAAAGATAAATTTAAAAGAAGAGGAAAAACATGAATAAAAAACCTTTGAGAGGCCATGTATGTGAAGACAATTATTTCATTCAAAGAAATATAATCCAAAACAGCAATGTCTTTCACCAATTAGCATTTCCAACGATGTAAGTTTAATAAAGCTCAGGTTGGCTGGTTAGTAGGGAAAGAGGCACTCTCTGAAGAATGCGGGAGAGTCCTAAACCGGTACCTTTTTTGAGAGCAATTTAGCAATAACTGCCCATTTTAAATACATTTCTGTTGACCCAGCAATTCGACCGCAAAAACTTTATGCCCGGTATACTAATAAAAGCATGAGTGTGTTTGTTGCAACACTCATCTAACAAAAGAGCACTTCCTATGTGTCAAGCTCCTTTCTAAATGCTGGAAAACATGGTGTGAACAAAGTCCCCGCTCTCACCTGTAAAACAAAAGTCAAAAAAGAAAAACAGAAAAACTCTGGAAATAACGTGTTCACTGATACGACCCGGTTAGATAAATTACAACACAGCCATATGGAATATTACCTAACTTTCAAAATAACTTGCTAAGTTTGTATGTTCTAATGTGGAAAGATCTTCAAAGATTCATACAACACGATCCCATTGCTGTAACCGTAAAACAAGATACTTCGTACTGATACTAGGATTTCCTCAAGTTTCTAAAAAATTATATAATACGTCCAAATTCAAACTTCAACCCTCCCCACCCGCCAGCTTCTAACAACCACGCAAACATCCACCAGTGATGAGCGAAGCTGCCCTTCTGCTCTCTCAGAAAGGCTGTCCAGCCGGGCAGCAGCTCCCTCACCCCCAGACACCCAACCTCATGCTTACATAAGCACTCGGCACGGGGGCGGGAGCTCGCTCACTCGCTTACACTCCCAGCTCCTGCCGCAGATCCTGACCACCTGGAGGGAGGAGTGAGGTCAGGCTTTCAGCCTCGCCCCAAGTGAAAGGTCGGCCAGCCCTTCCAAGAAAAAGGCGGGGGGTAGGGGGAGTGTATAAGAAAGATAAAGGAGAGTTTCACAAAACCCAAGGGCAGGAATGAGAACCCGAGACACGCAGAGAGCCCCAGAAGCATCTGCCGCTGCTTTCCTCGCAGGTGGCCTTCTCCCCAAAGCCTCCCTCCGGAGCCGAACAGAGGCCGGGCAAGGCCGCCTCGCGCAGCCAACTGCCGACACCCAAGCGGAGGAAGCCAGCTCAGCTCCTTCCCTCGGGAGGGCGGCCGGGCGTCTACCTCTGGGAGAAGCTTTTCACCAGCAGCCACACGATGAGCGGGAGGTTCTCGCGCTCGTTGTAGGTGGGCAAAAGCACCGAATACTTGTCCTGCCGCGGGGCGCGCCTCCCCGGCTCCCGCCGAGACCTAGGAGGGCTACGACTCGCTTCCTCAGAGGCCATGGCGGAACTGCGAGGGACGCCGGAAGCGGAAGGACGTAAGCGCGGCGCAGGAAGGGGCGGGTCAGACCGTACCAAATTCGGGAAGAGGGTCACGGTCTTTGTGGTTGAGTTCTAGTTCTCCTAAGGCTCTCTATATGGTTCCATTGGAAATCCTCTGGACCTACAAATCTTTAAAGATGAACCTTAGGGTTGCTTCATGAACTACATATCTACTTATCACCTTTTCGCAGGCTCCATAAAGTTGTTTTAGTTTATTCCCGTCGCTAGGAGACGGTAAGCCGGAAGCGGAAACGCCTTTCAAGACAACTTCCGGAAGAGGCCGCCATGGCTGCCAGGGACAAGGTGCTCGCTTTGCAGGCTGAAGTTGCCCAGCGTGAGGAGGAGCTGAGTTGCCTGAAGCAGAGGCTGGCGGCGGCTCTCTTGGCGGAGCAGAAGGCAGAGCGGCGGGTTCCGGTGTCGCCCCTGCCGCCGAAGGCCGCGCTATCCCGAGATGAGATTCTGCGCTACAGCCGGCAGCTGGTGCTGCCGGAGCTGGGCGTGCACGGACAGCTGCGCCTGGCGACCGCGTCCGTGCTGGTCGTGGGCTGCGGTGGGCTTGGCTGCCCACTGGCGCAGTACCTGGCGGCGGCCGGCGTAGGCCGCCTTGGCCTTGTGGACTACGACGTAGTAGAAATGAGCAACCTGGCCCGCCAAGTGCTGCACGGCGAGTCGCTGGCCGGCCAGGCCAAGGTCCTTTCGGCCGCCGCCGCGCTGCGCCGCCTCAATTCGGCGGTGGAGTGCGTGCCCTACGCGCAGGCGCTCACGCCAGCCACGGCCCTGGACTTGGTCCGCCGCTATGACGTGGTGGCTGACTGCTCCGACAACGTGCCCACTCGCTACCTGGTTAACGACGCCTGTGTGCTGGCCGGCCGGCCTCTTGTGTCCGCCAGCGCCCTGCGCTTCGAGGGCCAGATCACCGTCTACCACTACCACGGCGGGCCTTGCTACCGCTGCGTGTTCCCCCAACCACCTCCAGCGGAGACGGTGACCAACTGCGCGGATGGCGGGGTGCTCGGCATCGTAACTGGGGTCGTGGGCTGCCTGCAGGCGCTGGAAGTGTTGAAGATTGCTGCGGAGCTGGGCCCCTCTTACAGTGGCAGCTTGTTGCTCTTTGATGCTCTCAGAGGACATTTCCGCTGTATTAAGCTTCGGAGCCGCCGGCCCGACTGTGCAGCTTGCGGGGAGCGGCCCACTGTGACCGACCTACAGGACTACGAAGCCTTCTGTGGCTCCTCAGCCACTGATAAGTGCCGCTCCCTGCAGTTGCTGAGCCCAGAGGAGCGAGTTTCTGTCACCGACTATAAACGACTTCTGGATTCTGGGGCCCCCCACCTGTTGCTGGACGTCAGGCCTCAAGTGGAGGTGGACATCTGTCGTTTGCCTCATGCCCTGCACATCCCTTTGAAACATTTGCAACGGAGGGATGCGGAGAGCCTGAAACTCTTAGGAGAAGCAATCCGGAAAGGGAAACAGGGCACACAGGAAGGGGCAGCTCTCCCCATTTATGTGATTTGCAAACTGGGCAATGACTCCCAGAAAGCCGTGAAGATCCTGCAGTCCTTGACAGCAGTCCAAGAGTTAGAGTCTTTAACGGTTCAGGATGTTGTGGGGGGCCTCATGGCCTGGGCTGCCAGAATCGATGAAACGTTTCCGCAGTACTGAGGTGGCTGTGGTATAGTCTGATCTGAGAAAGATGTGGATTGCCATATTGCTCTAAAGATATTTATGTCCATTTTTTTTTCAATAATGTGCAGAAGAGCCTGGGATTCTATGACGTCTGTGAATACATAGGCCTTTTTTTATAAGGAGCTTTTTAATTGTAACTTACTGGATGACATAGTTATTAATGGGTTATGATACTGTTTCTGAGAACTGCCCTGTGTTTTCAGCACTTGGAGGGTGTCTTGAACATGTGATAAAATGTAAGTGACAAGGTTTTGTGTTTCAAACTGCAGATCATTTACCTGTCCTGCTTTTTATCCACCTCCCACAGTCAGAAAGCTCTCTCAATCGTCCATGTTATGCCTGGAATTAAGGTCTAGTAAACTTAGTCTTAGCGAATTGATTACAAATGACAGTTAAGCACAGTTTATTCTTTACTAAGACATTCTTTGGGTCTTATTTCTACTTCCGATGATAGACTATGTCCTACAGAAATAAGTGTTTAAAATGTAAATTGTTTTAAATGTCTTGGAAGTGGTCGTTCTATTAAATATTTTTAATTAATATCAAAGTGATATATTTACCAGTTAGCAAAAGAAAGGAAACCACCTTTGTAGTCTGTCAGTTTTTCTTGTAAATTGCTGATTTTTTGAAAAGTTAGCTTCGGGGTCCACCTTATGCTGGACACGTGAACATTTTCTAAACTCTGTACCATGATTTGGCCTGCTCTGTAATCTTCAAGTCCAAGTCCCAACCTTCTTCCTCCCCCTGCCTTTTTATTCCTATCCAATCTGTTATTTTTACTTTTGTCTTTACTGTATGGCCAGGACCCCAAGAACAATATTGAATTAAAGTGGAATAGTGAACATTCTTGGCTCCTCAATCTCAGGTGAAAAACTTTAAATATTTGACCATTGTCAGGTGAAAAACTTTGGCTATTTGACCAATATTGCATGTTATTGGTTTACTGTAGATATATACCCTTTATCAGATTAAAGAAATTTCTGTTCATAGTTTGCTAAGACTTTTCATTGAATTCATCAAATGCTTTTTCTGCATTTATTAAGATGATGTGTTTCTTCTCTTCTGTTAATGTAGTGAATTACTTTTTTTTTTTTTTAGTTTGGGGAAAAAAACAACATAAAAATTCACCCTCCCATCAGTGTCCAAGTGTGCAGTCCAATAGCGTCAACCACATACACGTGCTGGGCAACAGATTCAAAACCCCCATCCGACAAGACTGAAATGTTGCACCCACTGAACAGCTCCCCAACTCTCCCCTTTATTTGCCTTTTCTACTTTGATTTAATTTTTTTTACTCCGGCATTTTATAGCAGTGCAGAATAAAGTTGTTTTTAATGTTTTTAAAACGTTCTCATGAAGTGGCAGATAGTCTACCCAATTTCCAATATATACAACAAAATTAAAAGTGAAAATTTGGTATGTGAGTATATATCAGTGGCAAACTGAGAAGCAAATGCCATGTCAAAGGGCGCCTCTACCCCAGCTGACTGTTTTATGCAGGCCTGTGATTGTCAGAAATCACAGAAGTAAATGCGAAATCTTCGTATCTCTGGCTACACATTTTTAAAGAAGTTTGAAAGTATTGAGGGCCACACAAAACCCTCTGCAGGTCGGATTTACTTACCAGTTTGCAGCCTCTGATGTGGACTCTTGTCTTATCATAAAAGGATGGATTGTTTAACAGTCAAATTCAAGTCATCACTTTTTACCTGTGAAACGTATTGTCACTCATTTTTTTGAATCGGTATGCTTAAAGTAAGATAGGCCTTTCTCTATGATAAAGATGGAGCAGGTTTCTTACAACTGCTTCTCCCAAGGAGTTGTGGAAATAAATGGCTGAGACTGGAGAGAACAATGATGACTGGCCTGTATCTTAATGTCTTACTCCCAGGACAAAAGCTGATTCTGATACTTACCAGGAAACGATCAAATGGAGACAGAGGAACTATTTCATGTTATAAAGACTGATGGCCTAAAGTTAGGCAGTTTGCGCAATTCCTGCAAACCTGGTTGTCAGTGGGGAGAGGAAACAAGCTCTGTTTTTGATCAAGTGGGAAAAGGGTTTATTAAAGTGATATTAGATGCTTTGGAGAACTTGGGGGACAGACTCAAGGCCATACTTCCAGCAACGATGCCTAAAACCCTGTACAGAACTGGCCTGAGAACACTGTGCCGTGCTGCCCCACCTAGTGCTAGAGGAAACCGCCAGCACAGACTCAGCAATCCGCCTTACCCGGCCCAGAAAGCCTGACGCTTCAGCCACAGCCCAGGTCAGGAAGCAGAGTGGCGCTACCTTGTTCTTGTCTGAGTCAGTCTTACGAGGGTGTGTGTGGTAGGGAGAGCCCAGTCACAGGACTGTATACCCCTGCAAGAATGGCTGGGAATTTGAGTTCTAACTTCTACAATGGGGAGGCAGAATTTATGATCTGGGATTTTCTCAAATTAGAGAAAGGTTCTTCAAAACATAGGTTGTCAGAAATATGACAGATATCCGCTACAGAACCCAGATCTTTTGATTCTTTGAAATTCTGTTTTTTCTGGGAGTTGTGGCTAGGTTTTTACATTTAGATGGGATTTGAACGTGATAATTTTTTCCCTTTTCATTTAGCAAACGTCAAGTACCTTGAGCATACCAGTTACCATGGTAACCATTCTAAGTTCTAGGATAAAGATGAACAAGAGATTTCCTGTTGTGGAGTTTACATTTCGGTGGGGGAGACAAATCAAGTAAATGAGTGATGAGTGCCATAAAACAAATGAAACCTATGGATTGGGATGCGGAAGAAGGAGCTATTTTGGATAGGTTAATTAGGGGAAGCTCTTCAGAGAAGGGTTGACATTTAAACCCAAAACCTGAACAATGAGGAGCCAGTTAGATTTGGGAGAACATCCCATACAGGGAGAAAAACAAGTGGAAAGACCCTGAGGCAAATGAACTTTGAATAATCAAGCTGAAGAGGCCGTAGGTTGTGACCAGCTGGGGAAACAGAACCAGGGGAAGTTTGAGAGAGGGAATCTTGTAGGTTGTAGACCATAATAGGAATTTGGTTTTTATTCCAGATAAAATAACAGCTAACATTTATTGCACCCTTACTGTGTCATTTGGGATTTGAGCCCAGATGGTGTGACTGAAGAGCTGGTGCCCGAAGCACTGTGCTGAGTATACTGACTCTGCGTGGGAATCTTGGAAGTGCTCATATGTCTCATTATTGAAAAAACTGTGCCCTGATAATCATCGAATGGAGAGAGCTCGTATTTCAGACACAGTAGAAATGTGCTCTGGTGCGCTTGGTTTGCAGCCTTCTCTCTAGGGGAGGAAGCCCAGGGTGACATCCCTGGGAGCCCTCTGGCAACCATGTGTCACACAGGTCACGTCCCATTAATAGGGAGCCACAGTGGAGGAGGAAAGTGAGAAATACAGTCTCAGCGCAAGGAGTCCCAGCTGGTAAATAGAAGGGTTGCCAAGGAGGGCGGTCGGAAAAGGGCAGTAAGTCTCCTGAGAGTTCCCATGGAAGAGGAGAGTTTGTGTGTTTTTTTTTTAAATTTGTTTAATTAGCTGCTCCCTCCCACAGCAACAGAAGGTCCCGGCAGAGGCTGGGGTCAGGTACACGGCCCAGTTGGCTCTACTCAGGAGATTACTTTGCTTTCATGGATTGTATCTTCTCAGGGTTCCACATGTAACATGAGGCAGCCCTGTCCCGAAACTGAAATCTCACGTGAGATCATGCACCTGGCTGAAGTTTCAGGACAATTCTGGAGTGCATTTGGGATATTAGGAAAACTATTCTTACGCAGAAGTGGGAAAGTATTTTGCAAATAAAATGGGAAAAGGAGTTAATTCATACCTTTGATGAAACATAATTTTTGAACTGCTCAGGATGAGAGAGGAAAAACTAATTAAACCAGCCCCAAATTTGGGTGATAGTGTATATATATAATAGATATAATATCTAGGTATAGTTATATAGATATTTAGTTTACTATGAAGTCCTACATATTGACACTGATTCTGGTTTCTAATTTTTAGTCCAATTATTCAGGATTCAAAAAACAACAAATTTTTAATTACCTAGTTTTTTTGTTTTTTTGAGGAAGATCAGCCGTAAGCTAACATCTGCTGCCAACCCTCCTCTTTTTGCTGAGGAAGACTGGCCCTGAGCTAACATCTGTGCCCATCTTCCTCTACTTTATATGTGGGACGCCTGCCACAACATGGCTTGCGACGCGGTGCCATGTCCACACCCGGGATCTGAACCGGCGAACCCCGGGCTGCCAAAGTGGAACGTGTGCGCTTAACTGTTACGCCACCGGGCTGGCCCCTATCTGGGTGTTTTGTTCCTCTTAATACCATTTTTGGACAAGTTGCTGAAGGTAAGGAAAGAGAAAAAGCTTATATCTTAAAATTTCCCTTGTTGATGACACCTTGGTTGAAAAGCTGCCGGAGGAAGACGACATTGATGGAAAATGTTTGGGGCATAATTTTGTGTATGTGAGGAAGATTGGCCCTGAGCTAACATCTGTTGCCAATCTTCTTCTTTTTGCTTGAGGAAGATTGTTGCTGAGCTAACATCTGTGCCAACCTTCCTCTATTTTATGTGGCATGCCACCACAGCATGGTCTGGTGAATGGTGTGTAGGTCTGTGCCCAGGGATCCGAACCTGCGAACCCCAGGCTGCCGAAGCAGAACGTGCGAACTTAACCACTACATCACTGGGCCAGACCCCTGGGCATAATTTTTAATCAGTAGCATTCTCCTTACCCAATGCTTCCCGATAAAGGGGGCCTGAAACAAACTGGAATTTAATAGACCAAAGTTCAGCTGAGTTGAAACAGTTGACCCTTAAGTACAGTAAAACTCCCAAGCCAGGCTCGCTATGTGTAAGAGCAAAGGGAGGCAGTGATTTTACGTCTGGGCTTCCTTGTCACCCGAGGTAGACTCTTGGTGGTCTACTCAGCAGCCCCCCAGCCCTCCCTGCTGGCACGGTAGAAAATGTCAGACCCCTTTCCCAGCCTACCCTGCCGTGTTTGAAGAACCTGCACTTCTAAACAACTTTTTTCATCAACACAGTTCAAATCTGTCCACTTGTCACCATCTCTGCTGCTGCCGCTCTGGTCAAACCGTCTCTGCATCACATGTGCAGCTTTTCAGGAACACACACACCCCGTCAGCTGCGTCACTGAGTACCAAGAGCACTGTCGACCTTAGGTCTTAAGATAGCAAAAGAGGTACCTGTGTATAGCAGGGACTGCCGCCTCAAGAAATTTTTGATGATATAAGTACAAATATATCCTTTAGGTATTTTTGAGAGCTGTGAAGGAAATGCCTCTTTTTGCACAGAGCTTAAAGGGATTTGCAGACTCAGTAACTACAGGGGCTAGGCAAAAAAATAAATGAGGGAGGTGGCCAGCCAGGGACCATGACCTGGAGGGCGTCTGGCACATCCGAAGCTGTTACCCAGATTTAGCCAGCTTTGCCGTGTAGGAATGTGGGTACAGTGTTGCCACATCTTTCAGTCTTTTAAAAAAATCTGAGGGGGCCGGCTCCGTGGCCAAGTGGTTAAGTTCGTGTGCTCTGCTGCGGCGACCCGGGGTTCGGATCCTGGGCGCGGACATGGCACCGCTCGTCAGGCCATGTTGAGGCAGCATCCCACATCCCACAACTAGAAGGACCTGCAACTAAGATGTACAACTGTGTACAGGGGGGCTTTGGGGAGATGAAGCAGAAAAAAAACACTGAGTATTTGCATTTCACAGTTTCTGTGAAATCTGATTTTTAAATATTGAAAACAAATTTAAAAATTCTGAAACTGTTTACCAATGAAAACATACGTGTGGGCTGGATGAAGACTTGAGGCTTAAATAGAAAAAAACATGATTTGGGTCTTATTTAATTTGCCGGACAGGAGGTACCTGGGTGTCTGGGGAAGCCTACAGCACTTTTAATGGTTTGGAAACACTTGTGTTTTGTGTTTTTCATTCATATGGCGTTTAC